GGTGAAAGCCTACTACATATTCTTGCATAAGAGCCGATAAACAGTTGGACAAGTAACAGCAAAAGTTTAATTCATACTTCTTTTGATGTGTTGAGGAACCCAGCGAATTTGACATAGCTTTCTATAACAAGTTCTAAGCCAAACAAGGTCTACTGAATGACGAAACCGCTATTGATAACAAATGAAAAGAAATTAAAGAAGCAAATACTTCAATATCTCATTAGATGTTGAACCACATGAAGCACCAGCATAAAGAATGGATCTGTATTAATACACACGATACTGCAAATCCATTTTTCAGTGAGCATCCCCATCATCGTGTTCGGCAATGAAGAAACTAGATTCTGGTTGAATAGGAAATCATAAAGATGTTAAAGATTGGTGGGTCACATGTCGCGAAAATGATCAAACTCCATCACAAAGTAAGCCCTCAATGCAAGACAAAATAAGTAGGCATTGATAGGAGGGGTAAAATGCATTTGATGACAACTATAAAGGAGAGTCAGGATTGGTTTAAGATTCCTGATCAGCAGCCTATGTCCTATGAGAGGTAGCAGGCTTGAGTAAGTAAGTACTGTTTAATAATGAAGCACAACCTAGAAGTTGTGAATAACGCTTATAAACAAGCACATAGTACTATGTAACGTATCCTACAAGCTACCATCCACTTATCGCTTTCACTTAAAATGTTATAGTTCATAGAGAAATCTGGCGTTACAATTTTGTTATCAGCAGTTCGTGATGAAAGATACGTGAGATCTTCACAAAAGCCTAAGATTATCACAAATTATATAAAGTAGCTTAACTGAGTAGAACCTATCTTTCACTTGAAATATACAAAAAAAGTTCTATTTCTTAATTTATGTCGTCAAAAACATCTTTGAATATCAACCCATGTTGATAAAAAAGGCATGAATTCATTTAGATATTTAATGGCTAATATTAAGTTATCAGTTGTAAATTAAACAAAGTGAATAATATTTGTCATTATGATAGGATACGTTCTAATTTTATCTTAGTTAAAATATATATATGATGAATTAGTCCCTATTGATAGATTTGAATAGTCTAATGACAAGACGAAGATTATCAGAACTATATGATGTATTAACGAGATTTATTTCTAATAATCTTATCACATGTATAGTTGTTAAGATCATTTATACATGGCAAAAAACTGTCAAATGAAAAGTATGAGGAAACAAAGAAAATGATGAAAAAAAATAATGTGAAACAAAAAAAAGCTATGTGAAATTCACCATATTACATAATAAAACAACATTACTAGGGTTGTGAGAGCAAACCGTTTTTGAATACATAAAGGGTAAGGGTGTTTGAATTTTCATATGATCAAAACTTCAATAAGTCTAACTTTGGCAATGTAAGAGTATGGATGTTTATTATCTATTCTTATTGAGTCATTTAATTTTATTTATTTCAGCAACACAAAATACTTCAGCTTCGGTGGCCGAACACTATTAGCAACAATCTACTGTGGGAGAGAACAAATCAGGTTCCAGTAGAGGAAGAAATCAGGAAGAAGCGCTGGAAGTGGAAGTGTTTATCATTCATTATACATTCACTGAACTATAAACTGGATATATTTTAGTGTGAGGTTAAATAAACAATGTAATATGTAGTCTGCATAGCTGTGTAATGAATATGGTTTAATCAACATCTTTGGACTATACTTTATATAAGTTTTCTTCTACAATAAGTCATTTATATATGTATAACCCATTGTTATGTTCCTATCTTATGAAAACATTTTTCATTGTTCTAACCACATTTTATTTGATGTCATACACAAATTCCTTTATAATCTTCATGTATTTAATATCATTATTGGCTTTACGATTTCCCTATTTACGGTTTTGAAACTTTTAAAGCCTAAACTACCGAAACCATTATAGTTCTTATTCATTAGGATTAAACTGACCAACAAATCAACTCTCTTCTATTTCTATAAATAAAAATAATATATTTGTAATATCCCAATGAGTAGTAAATTGGATTTTTCTGACGTTTCGTGACTTAGTGTAAGTCACATCTTCAGAGAATAAATAACCAAATTAAATCGGCAATAGCAGTTCATGCCACTTTCAACAACCACCGAATCGATTTTAAAGATATCAAAATATTCCAAAAAGGCTTTTCCAACTACAAAGAATGGAGGGTAGCTGAGGCGTTCCATATAATGCTTAATCCTACTTCTCTCAATAGAAAGGAAGACCTTACCATACATCCTACTTGGACCATCTATCCTAGCCATTCAGTCTGATCGTATTTACAATTTCACACTATCATATTACAAATTTAAACTCTATCCTTTCTTACCATAAAGGTCACACAAGTTTTCATTCTTAAACAATGCACATATACATACACACAAATTTACATACATATCACTTATGAATCACCTTGACAGAAATGACATGACACCAGCTTGTTCAGACCTATTTTTGATTGATCAAATATTATTCTTGAATTGTTCCGTTGTACTATTTAAACTTGGATTAATTTTAATTTGGTTATTTATTCTCTGAAGATGTGACTTACACTAAGTCACGAAACGTCAGAAAAATCCAATTTTCTACTCATTGGGATATTACAAATATATTATTTTTATTTATAACAATCAACCCAATGCTCAATTTATTCGAAATTATCAAATCAAACCTTGGTAATGACACCTACAGTCTCTTATAGGTACAGATTTATTTATATCACTTATGGGTTATCATTTAATGAATTGTTCAGCCTATTACTTTACAGTTTCGTTGTGAAATGTTTTATCTTTGAAGGTTTGTTTCTTAATGCTTAGACTGGTTAGAGTATATCTTATTTATCAGCAATACCTTATGTAGAAGACACATGATGAAATGGATTCGTGAGAAAATCATCAGAGTTCTGGTGAGAAGCCATGATCAGTGGAGCTAATCCGTGTCGGGCAGAAACAGGTATCTACCTCAGTACAATGGAAGATGGTCGCGCTACTTCGTGGGTTGGTTGAGGTTAGACATTAACACCACTGGATGCTGACTCAGTGGTCCAGTATGTTAAGTGTTCGCGCGCGACACTGAAGGCCCTGGGTTGGAATCCCGCGAGCGGGATCGTGGATTCGCACTGCTGGGAGTCCCACAATAGGACGAAACGGCCGTCCAGTGATTCCTGGTTTTCAGTGGTGGTCTAACATCAATCGTTTTATGATCTCAACCAAAAACCTAACGATCTCCACAACCCCAAAAACTATTAATTTATTTACTTGTTTTTACTTGGAAAACCATCGTTAAGCTTATCCCATCGAGTTTTAGTAGCTAAGTTTATAAGCATTTGCTTACACATACTTTAGTTGTGATCATAGTTATGTTATATTTGTGGTCTTATAGAACCTTTGTTGAAGCAGAGATTCCAATGATTTTTTATATAAACAATCTTATATATTTTAGTAAAGCGGATATTTCTAAAGGTCGCGAAAGATTGACTGTTTCAAATTTTGAAAGATACTAGTAACACAGTCAGTACTTTTGAAGTCTTTTCCCATAGAAGACGTTCATATTATAAGTGACTTTATTCAACATTATATTTTCGGTATATTGATGAATTCTCAGCACAAAGTATTCAACAAGTTTCTTTTCCTTGTTTCTTAATCGATTCTGACGATATATATTGAGTGATCACCAGTTAACTTTTAGCAGTTCAGTAATCAACATCGGAATGATGTTCATTCTTTTCAATGGATATTGCTAGCCACCATGATGTCTGTAATTGTACTTTTTTTGTAATCTGTACAGTAAAAGGTCATAAAAGTTTCATCAACACGCCTGAATATGTTATGTGTTTAATGGACATAATGATGTGTTGATGCGAACAAAAGCAGATAATATCTAAATGACAGGAGCAGGTGGCCCATATATTTATATATTACTATAAAAACAAATCCTCGTGAATATATATAGGAAACTGGTTATGGTGCTTTTGTTCAATTCATATTAAATCTTAATACAGTATCATTGGCACTTGATTAAAACTAATAGCTTGAATGGTAGCTAACTGTTAGTTCTTTTTCCTTACTTTATTTAGAAAATTCCAAGTATGATATCAGGTAAAAACTAATGATTTCTTGAGGCATACGCACAGTATGCACATATGCCAATAACAGACTGATCAATTGCAGCCTTAAACCTCAATGGAAAGATACAAGCCAAACAATACCAAGTGAATGTTTGAACCTCATTCTAATAATTCAGCTAAACCCATAAGATAATGTTACTAGCTATAATAAAAATACTGTGATTCATATTATAGTTCATAAACATGTACTTGATTTAAGCTAGAAAAACTTGTCTTTCTTATATTATAACGAAACAATGACAACAAGCAGTGATGTGGTGTGTGCTACTTATATTGATATAAGTAGTATATGACGCGAGTTAAAAACATAATGTCTGGCAGCAGAAGATGGGAGAAGATCAAGAAAGGAAGAGCGGGAACACAATTCATGAACAATGAAATGTGAGACAATGGTTTGATGTTTGCAACAGAAACAGTCCAGGTTGATATAATGGATTAATAAATTGCAAATTGACGATTTACTATATGGTTTTTCGATTTTACCAAGTAACTCTGTAATTTCGTGCTAAATACATTCGATTGTCCTCATCCGTGTTCTGTTCACAACAGTGGTATAACATCTGGTTGAATATTGATGCTCACCATTCCATACTTCACATGATCATACATCAATAATATTCGAATTAAAATGTTTAAATAATACATTTTCAATAACAAGGCAGAATCCATGCAAAATTTAATATTTAAGTTTATAAAATTGTATCTAAACAAGTTAGAAAAAAGTATTTTCTTCATTATCGATTAATAATGTTATATCTTAAAGGCTGATTTCTTGATATACCGCGTATAACAGAGCACTAGAACACCAAAAACCCTCCAAGTCGCAAGAAGAAGACAGAAGACTAACGAAAGAAATATTATTTCAACAGTGTTCATTATAGTACAAAATCGTCAGGTATTTATAGTTGTTAGTAATAACGAAATCATCATTACAGTTTACCAATCCGCGTTCATAGGGTTATTAGCATTGACTAATCAGGAGGCTACACGTTGGAATTCTAGAATATTCTTCTGAAACGTGATTGGATGGAATATCTTCGGCTCCTTCTGAGCCTTCTACAGCTTCCTCGAGTTCACCCATGGTCCGTCTTCACAAATAATATAAACTATATTAATCAACTCATCTTTATTTAAACATTTATTCATACTCAACTTGTTTATGAAAACAAACAAACAAGAAAAACAAACGACACATTTACATACTACTTTAAAAATCTGTTAAAATTTACTTATGTTCATTGAATAATTTTTTTTCTACAAATTAATTTAATATCAATAAATATTGATTAATATTGAATTCAATGTTCAATAATCATCATAAATTAACCAATTTCATTTGTATTCTATACTCTTTTTTTAATCAATTCGTAAAAACTAAATTTTTTTTCTTAAATAAAAAAGAAACGAAAAAAAACAAACATTAAATCTGAAATTCATTGTGAATGTTTTTTTTTCACGGGAAAAAACAACAAAAAAAAACTACCGAAACACATTTTTTTTATTTTTGTTTAAAACATTTTTTAAAATTTTTTTATGGAATAACTATTGTACAGCTAACAGTAATATTATAATGAGGAATTTGTGATGAAATTAGTTGCGAACGTACCTTTTCATGAAAAAGAACAAAAAAAAACTACCAGAAAAAGTTTTTTTTAATTTTTTTATGGAATAACTACTGTACAGCTAACAGTAATATTACAATGGGTAATTTGTAATGAAATTAATTACGAATGTATCTTTTCATGAAAGAATAAAAGAAAAAACAAACAAACAAACCACCGAAAAAATGTTTTTTTTTTAATTTTTTCAAAAGATTTTTTTTAGTTTTTTTTCTATGGAATCACTACTGTACAATTATCAGTAATATTATAATTAGTAATTTGTATAAATGTATCATTATGATAAACACAATAAATACCAAAATAATTTTGTAAATTAATTAATAATCTACATAAAATACTTAAGATAAGAATTAAAAATAAAATTATAATAAAAATAATTCTATTTCTTAAAATAATTTTATTCAATGAATTTTGTTGTTTTATTGATTTATGATTTTGTTCAATTGGTAAATGATTAACTTGATGATTTTTCTGGGAAATATGAATATCTGCTTATAATAGAAGAAAAAAAAAGAAAAAATGATAGTTTGATTCATTATTATTTAATAATACGTTGTGACGAGGTTATAATTTATAGACAAACCAGTCAGATTTAAGATAAGCGGTCTTGGATTTTGGCGCAATATTCATTCACACATAGCGTTTTGGCATTTTAGTTGATGATAGTTTGTGGTGTAAACTATAAATCTTAAATTCTAACCATTATCATTAACTATAAATCATTGTTTTAATTCTTCAAATTACTTTATAACATTCGCTTACCACTATTAAGAAGGTAGACATTTTCAAGGTCACTTTGGCGTCGCTCAAAGTTCGTTCATAAATTATAGTCTTACCGTTTATTTTATATTAGGTTTAATGTTAGATTGACTAAATCATTGGGCTATTATTTTGTAACAAAAGAGATAATAAAATGTTAATGAAAATTATTTAATCAATGGAATAAATAGATATAGATATTAGAATTATCCAGTTCTCTAAGTCAAATGATTGAATTATGAAGCTATTATATTGGACAATATCAACTCTTATTTCATGTAGAAGTATGCTTTGAAGTTATTCCACTAGTTTCAAGTTAATTTGTTCTGCTAACCCTGTTAATAACTTATTGTAGTCGTAGATTTTGTTGCTTTCCTTTATGCTTATATTTAAATTGACTATCTAATTTTCACTGATCTCTGACAAAGGTCAATCAATCATATGATTAAAAGTCAATGTTAGCTACATAATTAAATCATTAGGCTCAGACGACTGAACAATATCAAAGCATCCATTTGAACTATAAATCTTATCCATCATATTATATATATGACATAGTTTGTTCAAATGAACTAAAGATGAGTACAACAATTTTTTCATAAAACTACAACGAATAGTTGCACATTTCATTACTAGAAAATATAAATTTGATAGCATTAATATTATATAATTATTTTTAGAAAGATCTAAAAACGCAAGTTAGAAATAATATCTCCCACAGTTAGTTGCAAACTATGAGTTAGTTACTGTGAAAAATATTGTCCAACGTTGTTTATTATCTAGTACGATGATTATTAACTACAGAATGAATCAATGGGCTACTGCCAGGAGGTTTGAAGCAGCACTCCAACCCTGAATATTTCATAATAGTGAGGTAAGATCTAGACGTTTTTATATTTTCAGTAAACGATAATTTCTTTTATTCAAAACCGTCGTCATGCCACTGTGTTTTGCGACTTGTAAACAATTCGGTTGTACAATCATATGATATGATTAGGCACTAAAAACCTGTAAATCTTTATAGGAGCACCTTTAAAGGGGATTATTTGGTTAACATCTGTAACTGCTGACAGTGGTACTCGACCATCTGTTTGACCACCGACACGAGCGAAATCAAAAAGAGTTGCTTTTTACTGAAATTTAGTGAAATCTCTTTCAAATCTAATGATATAAGTAGTTTGTATGTGCTTGGAATGCGAGAAATACTAATCAGATAACGCTTACACTACACAGAGGATCGACTGAAATTGAAAATGCAGGTCATTTGATAGCGACTCTTCAGTTAAACAATACTGTGTTTAACACAAATCCTCAGTGTTCCATGTTCGACTCTACGTGTGATAGTGACTTGAGGATTCTGGAAAGTGAATATTTACTGGTTTTTTAGTAGTGATGATAAAAACTAAAAACATGACTTTTCATCAATCGTCTTAATTAAATCATCACCTGAAAATGTAAACGAGCGTTACATTTGCCTAATAAACATACGGTTTCCATAAAAACGACCTATAATGTTGAGAAGTAATTTACAAAACCTATCTCGATAATACTAGGTATTTTTCAGGTTGGGACAAGCGATAACAAGTAGAACGAACTAACTGTATTGACCTTGGGAATCTTATCAGAAATATGAACAAATGCAACATAGTTAACAAACATCCATATAAATTATTCTTTTCAAAGGTCCTTTTATTAATAAGTCTATCCAAATATTTCTTGAAGACTGTAATTATACTTCTTAAAGAAACAATCGCATACAATTCAATAGTTTTCAAATATTTTTAAACAAATTTTCAAATAATCGCGACCATTGCTCTTATCTAGATTGTATATGACAACTCAATTTATGTAAAGATAAACATGAGTAGGAAGCTTTTTGCAAGTAGTATGTAGTACAAAGGGAAACGAAATACCCATGAAGCGCATCGATGGATAAAATATCCATTCCTAATTATGAGAAAAATGGTGAAACTGCTTGCATGACTTGTTGACAGATAAGACGTAAATGTTCATTGATTTAAAATAAATTAAAATGTCGGGAATTCTCAAGAATTTCGGTTCATTATTCTAATTTGACACGATATTGACGAGCGAATTCACCTATCTGTCGAATTGTCTTGACAATTTGTATTTTGTCCCTTCTTCCCCGACTGTTGCTTCTACGACACTAAGGAGCTTGGATGATAAGTATTCTGCAGGTAAGAATATTCAGACAATTTTTACTCTTTTATTGCACTATTCATGTGTTGGCTGATATTAGCTTTTTTAATAGTTTAAATAAATTCCAGAATAATGGATTATTCCCTTCAGCCTAATTTACCTCTACAAAGAATACAAGTACAATGTGTAAAAATATTTCCTAACACTTGATAAAATAGAAAGACCATGCTGCAATACTTCATTTTCAAAATGTTCATTAATTGTCTCAGACTTCATTATTCCTACATTTCCATACCAATTTTTCTCAGTTCCAGTTCTTCCCTACTCGATCTTCTCAATTTTCTGCTACCAGACATTCTATTCCTGACTAGCGTTATAGACTAGTTATAAGTAACACACACCACGGATGCATTTAAAATCCATGGAAACCATTTAACATGTAACGATCATTAAATTAATTATTCTATTAATTATCACATTCTTTCTAAGACTGTTGAATGTAAGCATTTAAAAGAATTAACTAGATAAAATGAGTATATACATTTTATGTATTCAGTCATTTTGTGTATTTATAATTTTACCTACCCTCATCAACGTTCACAATCCCAGTAGCAGTAAGTTCACCAAGATTTTTCATAGCCATTTCTGATGATTCATTCTCTACTTTTATTCTTTCTTTAGCCTACAGATATACAGAGAAACAATAAATTAATAGGACTAATGATCAAAAAACAACAAACAAACCTTAGCTATAGGAACATTTGGATTATTTCGCATAATTGAGTCTTGACATTTTAAAATACTCGCTATAAATGTGAATGATATGACACGTAATAAGTATGTGTTAGATCCAATGATCAGAACAAAATCAATTTACATACAAGTATAATATACAGATCAATTTTTTGATTTTGGTGATACATTTTTGAAATGCTTAAAACAGATTTGTGAAAAGATCTTACAATACTTCAGTTATCACCATCTATTGGATATACGTCATATTAAAACAGTATCCATAAAAGCGCTCAAGTAGTTTAAATTCCATTAAGGATTGATCAAATTTTGGTATTAAATGTTAACAACGATAATGACAATATATAGTACTTCTTAAACTTATACGTCGCGTATTACATAACTTTTCCTAGTAAATTCTGATCGATATTAATGTATGCCGAAAAAAATAAGTAGTATGGAACATCAATCAGAAATAGAATGCTTGTCAAAAGAAGGTTGAGAAAATTTAACTGAATAAAACAGAAAGGAAACATAAAGAAAGTTAGAATTGAAAGAATCATGAAGGGTGTAGAGGATAATTGATAGAAGGTTGGCAAATGAAGTATTTAATGTATGGTTTTCACATTTTACGTAAAAACTCCGTAATTTTGCGTTAAACAATAAATTGTTTTGTTCTCACTTGAGTGTCAGTTCACTTTACTTTTAAACGTCAATCAAATACCATTCGTAATAAATAACGTCGTACACAGAAATAAATAATCATCAATATTTATATCAGTTAAGAATACATTCGCAGATACAATAGAAACGTACAATTCAACTATCCTAACTTCATATCTCACATTTAAAAGTAATAAAGTCAATATGTAGAATATAAATTCCTCAAATCATTAACTGGTAAAAATGGTAACATTTGTATTTCTTGAGTCATTTGAATCTAGATCACCATGGAAAACCTAGAAACACTGAGAGTCCGTTTTGTTCTAGTATGGGACTCCTCAGCAATGTGCATCCACGATCCCGCTAGCAAGATTCGAACCCAGGGCCTTGGGTCTCACGCGTGAACGCTTAACCTCTAGACCACTGAACTGACCGACATCCAACGGTATTAATGACCAACTTTAACTGGTCAACGAAACCGCACCACCGTCTACCATTGTCTTCAGTGAGTTACTAACTCACAACAGAACCATAGGAACTCCATTGAGGAGTCCTTACTGGGACGAAACGGCCATCCAGTGCTTCCTGGTTTTCCATGGTGGTCTAGATTCAATTAACTTAATAATTCAACTATTAAATTACTAGAATATCCAAAAAAACCCTTGTTGACTTGTATTTCTGTTTCTATTTGTGTATTTGATTGATACATTCTGGTGTATCATTAATGTTCTAAATGGAATAAGATGTTTTTGTTTTGTTTTGAAAATTAAAATTACTTTAGACTGATGATCATTATTTATTATTTTTTTCTAATCAATTATCATTACATACCAGTTTGATTTGTGTTGTCCAATTCAAACGGAAACATATTATGCATAATGTAGACACTTGTAATGTTGCAGCACTAACGAGACCGACCCAAATACCTGTTATATAACATAAAAAAGTTTATTATATAACAATGTAACGATGATATCTTTCTTTCCTTTCTAAAGTTAAACAGCTAATTAATGTAAATCAGATTGAAAAAGGCGAATAAACAATTCATCGCCTGTAATATACACAGATTCAATCAGATTTCATAATGTCAATGATTACTCATATTTCACTCTCATGTTCTTAACTTACCAATCAATATGCAGTAGAATTTTATTGTTAGGAATGATAGGAAAAAGAAACTAATTTAATTAGTAAACTTTTACCCATTCATTATACATATATGTTTGATAATTAATGTGCTAGTGGACTGATATTGTTCAATAAATGAAGAGAAATAGACACACAATCTTGTTAAACGTTGAAACACTAATGCTGTAAATACTTTTCTGTGATTATTTTCTATACTGGATTAACTAGATGTGAACTGATTGTATTGTTATTAGTATAGGGTTATGGAAATTGCTGAGTATTTGATTAAGATTATGATCTACTCATGATTGTATTTTATTTGAATAAATTATTCATTCTCTATTATTTGGTCCTCTATTGTCAGCTGGATATTATATCAGTATTTACCAAATGATCCAGCATAACGATCGAACTGTTTCGTATTGTGATCTAGTGCATTCAGTAATATTATTCAGGTTAAATCTAGTGATTGCATAATTTGATGAACAAGTAGTATTGTCGTATCATTGTATTATATTGTGAAGAAAAAGAAAATACTTTTTATCTCTATTATATCAGTACTATTTATTGATAAGCTTCATAGTTTAATGATAATTTACTGTGGTATCTAACCAATATTTTACAAAACTTTCCATTAACTACTTTTAGCCCGAATGAACATATTCTCAAAATCAAAGCGTATTTTTACAGTAAAAGTTGACGACTTTTTTTGTGAACTGCAATTATTGGGACTACCGATAATAAATGCAAATTGTGTTCATTAACATTTTTGTTGGAGATAAACTGATTTTAATAAGGTCCACCATGTATAAAAACTGACTTTAAATCCTATGAGTGTGTGATGAATAGTCCTCAATCCTTTAGTGTTATCTACTACGTGTTCAACATTAATAAATTGGGATAAAACTAAGGTGTTATTTGAATTGGTTTGAGTCAGCAGTATTAAACTTTATGCTCAAAGAAAATCTGTGCTCTTGTAATCTTTTGGTTGTTAAAAGACGGCCAAGTAAATGGTTTTTCTAGATTGTCACTTCCAAGTTTGTTTTTATTTGCATGTTTTCTATCCTTTATCCACTTCTAAAATATATTTAGGCTTTGAGCGCTCACACGATTTGTACAGTAGTATTAAGCAATGGGTAATGTGTATAATGTTTTGATAAGCTGTTTTGTCACCCAAGATTTAACCTAATTGAAATTTTGAGATTTTTTTGTAGTATTATCATAATATCATCTCATTAAAATCACGAACCGACCAATGTTAGAAAACCACTGGAAACTTAGAAGCATTAGACGGCCTCTATAGGAGGCTTGTCAGAAGTGCAAATCCAAGATTCCGTACTCGGAATTCAAAACCAGCACCTTCGGTCTCGGTCACAATGCTTAACGTACAGACCACAATCTCTACAACCCCAAGTTGGAAAATATCTTCAATATTCATTTCTCTACTATTATCACTACACCCCTTAATATCCAAACAACTCTCATTAACCATCAATTATCGTTATCCACGAGCTGGGCTCATTTGGTTAAGAGCATTGCATTAAATCATTATGATCGATAATTTCATATGAATGTGAAATTTAAGAATTTTGTATTGGAAATAAATGTTATCCATTTGTATGTTTAGATCACGTTTATAAAATAAAACGTTGATATATTTACTAATATGGGTTGTTTATGGAGATTGTTGAATTTTATAGCATATTATCATCGGTTGATCTTAGTAACCACTGAAAATCAGAAAGTACTGAGTGGCTGTTTTGTCCTTGTTATCGAAATCTTTAGTGGTGTACTTCACTGGAGTATTAATCTAGTGGTCTAAAAGTTATATGCTCGGAGTAGATCGAAACATTTGTAAACAATATTTAGAAACTATTTAAGTTGTTTTTAAGAAAAATATGGTGCAGTTACCAAGTTAAATTACATTATCCAGTCTCACATCATGCTTCAAATATTTTTTTACACGCGTCAATTATTTTTCCAATGTATGGGTTTAAGTGACGAAGAAAAATATTATAAATATATTCTTCAGTGAAGTTAGATGAGAAATATTCAATGTGGTGTCAAGGTAGATTAATTACTTATGGTCAGTAATGTCCAGTTAGGATTTGAAAAAAAAACTCTGTTCACCTACCGGTCAATCTAAGATTTGCTACATAAACTAGACAAATCCCAAGTGGTACAGCAAGCATGTAAAGACAAAATATGTTTACAACTGCTCCAACTGTTTGTAAACCTGATCCTTTCAAGACACCACTACATATACCCTTTAAAAGAAATAACAAAAAAATATTACGTAAGGTAATCTGAAACAGAAAAATCTAGAATAAATTTAATAATAATAATAATAATAAAGACTTGTCTGAAAGAAGCCATAGTCGAATTCTGACATCACGAATGACTTGGCATTATGAAGTTTTTTATTACTCTGTGGTTAATTAGTGAAAATATTCCCACCATCCACCACCCAAAAGTAACGACATTAATTCAATCGTTTCTTAAGTGGTTTTTTACTTTTGACTTGTTGATTATGACAGGAATTTTTATATATTTCAGGAGAAATCGTAATCGATGATTTATGATGTTCCTTGCGACAATGTATACTACTCAACATTTGTCCAAAGATAGTTGTCAACTTACCAAATGATAAGGGAAATTTTTTGAAAGTACAGAGAAATAGCATGACTGTTAAAGCCAACCATGTTAAAAGTGAGACAGTGAACATTAGATTGTATTGGACAATTACTGAATTTTATCAGTAATTGACTGTTGAAACTCATTGTGTTCTACATAAGACCTAAACGTCTTTCGCTTTATCTAGTACAGCAGTAATGGATGCACATAAGTGAGTAACTTCAAACTAAGATCAAAAGGTGCCCAATTTTTCCTAGCTTTCCATGGATCTTCAACTCATCTCAGTTTGTGATGAAACATTTCATCAAACTAACTGAATGATGGACGAAATTCGTCAGTTACATAGAACATTATACTGTATCAATTGAATTGTCGATTACTTGAAATGATATGATTGATGACTAATTAGAAAACTTGAGTTTATTAAATCAGAGCTCCAGTACAAGAACTTTGAAAATCAAGATGAATTATCGAAAAAATGTTAGTTTTATAGAGCAAATATGGTACATTTGTATACAAAATGTTCAACATAAAAGAAACATTATATAAGATTTCAGTATGTTTTAGATATGAACTTTGTATGTCTCTTACGGGCCCCATAGGATTAAAGCCTGATTCTCAGGTTTAATGATCATTGTCCATATCAAACCTACCATCTGTTTTAGAAACATTCTCCTACGAATACACAAACAAATTGAATCGCTTCATGAAACAATTAATGGGGCCGAAAAAAGACATTTTACATTTATTTCGAATAATTATTTCTAAATTCTATTACATACAAAAAAACGCTTACATTCGCACCATCGATAATTTGGAAATAAGCTATAATTGGCATTAGTTCAGCTACAAGTTCAATGACGCCACTAAAATGAATTAAAAAAGTTACAGTGTAAAAGAAAGAAAAGGAACGGTAACTATTGATTCATTTTTTTTAGTAATAATAATCAGTTGGATAATCGATTTTATCATGTACATTCGGGCAATTAATCAATCAATGTAAGTTATGCAGTGAAGGAATTCAAATTAAGGATTTTGTGTTAAAAACAAATACGTTTATAGGGAAGATTGAATGAAGTAGGAAAAACATATTAGCTTTTGCTAATTTGTTCTGAAGTATGGTATTCACATATATGGTACTGGGAAATAAATAAATTTGTCGTTATTATAATTAATATTTACAAAAATACATTAATTGTGGATTGGTTGAAGTTCAACATTAACACCGTCGGATTCCGGTCAGCTCAGTGGTCTAGAGGTTAAGCGTTCGCGCGCGAGACCGAAGGTCCTGGATTTGAGTCCCGCGAGCGTGATCGTGGATGCGCACTGCAGAGGAGTTCCGCGCTAGCACGAAATGACCGTCCAGTACTTCTAGGTTTCTCATGGTGGTCTAGCTTAAATCGACTCATGAATCCAACTAACTATTATTCACGTGAAGTTTTTTTTAATTTTTATATGTTTATTAAAAAGAGGTTAGTAGAAAATGTTAAATAAATTTTATTAGATTAAAACTGTTCAATAAAATTGATTCATATTTAATTAAGGTCGAAATTGAAAAAGTACAAACGGCTACTGTTTCTCTGTAAACTGCATTTTGTAAACTCATAGTTAATTGGGAAGAACTTAGATTTCAGAATAATTGTGGTCTAACAGTCAGTATTATACTGATTTACACAACTGTAAATTTGATAACGTTCACTCTAGAAAAGAGGATCCTTTTAATTATCTCCAGTTTAATTCAATTGTTCGCCCATACTTCCAGTTTTATGTTCATCGAATGAATAAAGGAACCATGAACGTTCATGGGAAAATGTAAACAAGTATACAGTTAGATTGGCCGGACAGTGACAATCAAGAATATGGGGCTGTATAGTAGATTCAGTAACAGCATTTTGAATAATTAGTAAACTGAATGATTTGAGGATATTGCATTATGCAAAAGCAATAAAAGTTAATTGTTTGAATACTAATTCGTTTACTCAAAAAGTTAACTTTGTGAATAACCACTATCCTTTTAACTATTTTAATAACCCTACTTGTCAACAATCTACAACCTTTATAATATTTGTCCTGCTAGAACAAATTCAGTGAGTGCACCACTGTCTCAACGATTGAATCCAGGAATTTAAAGTATCACAGCGATCGCCTAACCTCAGAACTACTCAGCCGGTATCCGATAGTTAACATGTTTAACTTTGATAAATTCACTATACTACGCAATCACTTTCCAATCCTATTTTTTGGTAACGGCTTCACAAAGGAATCCTTATAATTACGGTTTATCAGTAGTACTCTTGGAATCACTCTCAAACTTAGTTACCTGAGAGTAAATGATAGTTATTTATATAGGGGTTTGTTGAGATTATTAAATGTACCGCTGATAAGATTGAATCCGAATAACTGACATAATCCCTGGTGTTTAGTTCCATTTAACACTACTAGTTGAAAATGTCGACTGGTTTTTGGCGTATTCACTGGTATTCAGCATACCACTTTTGTAATACCATTTTAAATATATATAAGTATCTATTCCAAGCAACTTATAAGATCAGAATCGAGTAATTTTGAAAATAATGACTGTTATTAAACATTCCTTTAGAGTTTATCTAATACTGTTCAATCAAATTAACGGTTACTAGATGAAGTTGTGTATATTTTGAAAGTTACATTTGACATATAGAATTTGACTTTAGGATGGTTATCTCTAACAAACATGTATTGTGCTACAAGATATATCAATTGAAGGTCGTTGAGTACTAATCAAATTTGTTGAGAGTGAGGTATTCCGGAACAGGTACAATATTTAAAATTGCCTACTAGAAAATGCATTCACAAAGTTTATGTAACTTATAATAACTATAGAACGTCAGATTAAATCTAAATATAATTATTAGCAAAGGTTCAGATTATCCTATTGTTGATATTTAAGATTAAATTTCAACCACTCTTTGTTGAGGGTCATGCAGTCTGTGAGAATTTCTCGGATATCACTGTTTTATCAACTCTAATTTAACTAGTTAAAGTTGGTTAGTAATAGAAATCAGGGTTTGCGTTTCCTCCTATTTATAACGGGATCTCTGGATTTCTGAAGCGAAGGGTACTGGGTTCAAGTCCCAGAGTGGATATTAATACTGGGGTGCAGATACATCAAGCCGATATGCCTCATGTATGACGAGATTCAAGTCTTGAATACCACTGCTAGCCACAATCTACCTACTCTAGAAAAATATGAGTATTTTGTGAACATTCTTAGATGTATATCTTCAAGATTCTGTCCGAGCTAGCCACCTGTACTATTTGGAAATATCATGCTTTTCATTTTTACTGTAACTAATATAGTCTTCTAATTTTTTTTCCTTCCCCATTATTCACTCACACATTATAGTTTATGTTAAATCGATATACACTTTTCCTTACCATAGAATTATCGAAGAAGACTATGCGTATAAGTAACCCAGATATCAAGGGCATTTGACAAAGTGTATTTATTATCTTCCATGATTTATACAAGTCGTTTTTTTCTTTGGATTTACTAGTACAGGCTGTGGAGATTGTTGAGTTTTAATTGAGATTATGAATCGATCAAGGATAAACTACTATTAAAAACCTGGAAGTACTGGATGACTGTTTCATCCTAGTAGGGGACTCGTCAGCTGTGCGCGTCCACGACCCCGAACTTTGGACTTGAACCCAATACCTTGGGTCTCGCAGGCGAACGCTTAACCTCTAGACCACTGATATGAACGACATCTAACGGTATTAGTGTCTAACTTCAACCAATCCACGATATTGAGTGACCGTCCACCATTGTCTTCAGACACAGTTGAACTCTACTGGTCACGGCTTTAATTTTTTAATATGCATGAAGGTAATATTGAATTTATGCTTATTCACTTAGCTTTCTTTACCACTTAAAAACTTTTATTCGTCTCTATTTTTTCATTGTTTATTATAAAAACTAATAAAAGCGATGTAACTTTTTTATCATGATGTAAAGGCTATTTACCATAATCTTCATCTAAACGCTTGAATGATCATGTTTTATTCATCGAAGGTTTTCCGTCTGACTTACTACATAAAGAGATTGCATGCTCTTGGGATTACTCGTAATTTACTCTTACAATTTGTCAATTCTTGCATATTACCTATTATTATTTACTGTTATCCATTATTCTTTCCTGGGCTTTTGAGGAAAAACTTTTCTGTATTGCGGAGAATGCTGAAGGCAATTAGCAAGATGTGTGGTGAATCTTTCGAGGTCATAATTAATATGGTTGTGGATAGACGTCTGAAGTCATGCAAACGCCTGGAAGGTGTTATGTTATCAGATACTAACCACCCACTTCACTCTTATCTTTCTCCTTGTATATCTTCTGGTAGAACGAGACGTAATTACATTAAAATCCATGCACGCAAGCAAAAGTATAAAAGTTCTATAATACCGTACCTAGCAAATATACTCTGTGACGAGCAGGTTGTTAGAGTTAACCTAGTCAATAACCTGCATTCTTGAAATGTCTCTAATTTTAAAAGTTGTACAGTTTTTCAGATACTTTTTAAACCATTTTTTCCCTTTTGTTTGTCTTTGTTTCTGTTTTTTGTGTAAGAGGCTTGTTGAAATACCCTGTGCTGAGAATTCTATATTGTACCAAAATATAATATTGAATAAAGCCATTAATAATAATAATAATAATAATAATAATAATAGTAATAATAATAATGATAATGGTTCTAAATATTAGTCAGCAATGCAGTCTATGATGTATAAATGAACTAATTATCTATTTATGAGCTTATTTAATCTGATAACATGACCAGAACTTCAACGCATTATTGTAGTAGCTTATGAAGGTGAAATTGTCAACAACAAAAAAAGAGAACTGTTTACTTTGAAATATTTAAGAAACGATATTTATCAATATCTAGGTAAGTAGTAATAAAATACCGGCGAAACTATAATTACGGACGAGGCAATCAGATATACGATAACAGGTCATGGGTTTGGGCGCGAAATCCATTCATTCATTTGGTAAATGGAGTTTTGACATTTTAGCTGATATTAGTTCGTGATAAAAACGCTAAATCGTGTTCCTGAGCCTAACCATCAACTGTAAATCATAATTTTCGTTCCTCACACTTCTTTATTAGTAGGTGGACATCCTTAGGGTCACTTCAGCATCGCTCAAAAGTTCTTCATAAATTATAGTCTCACCGAAATACCTTATACTGTTCAACTATATATATCAAATAACTCTATCTCAATTTCACATTATGCAATTAGTTATTTTTATAGATATTCAGATTTATGAAACCCCATTTTAACGAAATTCCATTTGAATTGACTAACAATAAAGAAAAAATCAACAAGTAACAGATTGAACTTACTCATCAGATGTAAAAACTCTTGGTAAATACCATCTTGTAGCAATTAGAATTCCTAAATATGGTAAAGCCCAACAACCTTAAATTTACAACAAAAAAATATATATTATTAATTATCTGATTAGTAATAATTACTGAAATTATTGACTAATTTCTTTTATGAGTTTAAACTTACCAACTAATGTCATAGCTACACTAAATACAGAATATGGGCCTTTAGCAGATTGAGCACCAAGATATTGTCCTACACGTATACCTGCTGCACTACCAACACCAAGTGGAAGCTAATAAAACAAAATGGAAATTTTATATAAATTTTTTTTCTCATTTATAAATTGAACTAAACCAAGAATAATTCATGTAGTAGAATAACACAAGTTCATCATGTATTGTGGTTTCTTGTCAGATTGACGAAAAACTGTAAAACTTGATGAATTTGTATTATTTTACTATGTTAATTTGTTCTTGATTTGGTTAGAAAAATAGAACAATGAAAAGTAGTGAATTAACCTAGGCAACTTTTCTGTTGTTTTACTTCAAAGTATACAATCAAATAGTTAATTTAATTCATTTGAAGTTATTGAAACTTTAGTTCATCTTGTAACCATTTATATTTAAATATACATTTTTATCATAGACTAGTATAAGCGGAATCAGTATTATAAATCAAGTCAAAGCGAACAATTAGTTTCTACTTGTGTAAAATTACTCAGAAATATACAAGTACAAATTCGTTGAAAAATCTAACACAAGATCATGATATATTGTAGTGAACAGGACACGGGTGGGGATAATCGAATGTACTTGACACAGAATTACAGAACTTGCTAATGAAATCTATCATAAAGTAAATACGTAATTTGCAAAATGTCCACCGATTGTCTCAAAACGACTCAGACTTCATTGTTCTTGCATTTTCATACAAATCGCATTCTGTTTCCACTCTTTACTGTTCGATCCTTTTGTCTCTGCTGCCAGACCTTCTGTTCACGACTACATTATAGACTACTTATGTCAATATAAGTAGCACATACCATAATATCACGATAACTAAACGTCTGGGTTAATAATATCAAAAATTTTGATTGCGTGTTATTCAGTGTTACACTTATGAAAAAGGAAATTCCCCTGTTTATTCATCCTTTAAAAACACATGAAGGAGAAATACTTCATTATATAGCCTTTTAAAACAAACAACTTATAAGAACTACGTATTTGTAACGTATGTGGAAATCTTTGATTTTAAGGAAGGTGTAAATAGATAAAATGAGGTTTCTCCAAAAACAGTCGGACGAATACTGAGTAATATTTTCATATAAATCTCAGCGGTAACACTTATTCATTGAGACTAAAATAGTTCATCTCATGTATTTCGGGAATCCTTTCTAGGAGGGTCCCTTTATTGTTTCTAATAGGTTGATTCCAAAGTGATCTACCCCTTTAAACTCTGCAATGAAACACATTAGTTTAATGAATAACGCTGTAGAATTTAAAGAATTTTTTGTCTATTATGAACTGCAATAACATCAGCATTGGTGTATACATGTAAATAAGTGATAACTCTCAAATAGACAAAGATATATCGTATGATTGACATTCTTACTTATCACTACATGAAATCATGCCAAAATGTGTTATATGGTTTGATCTTAAAAAAATTTAAGATCACTTTTGAACTCTAGTAAAACCTTTATTTATACTTTGATATATATATATGCATGGTTTGAATAAAATTGCCACAATTTTAAGGTACCTGAAAGATATTGCCACCAAGGGAACATTAAAAAGAAACTAATAATATAAATACAACATAAACAAATGTGAATATAAATACGGACTTAGATTATGTATGATGATTCCATGAAAACAACTGTATAAATTTGGTTGGCTAGACAACGTAAACTAACATTTGAGACAAGTGTAGTTTCATACATACATATATAATTAATGTTCTACTACTTTTTAGGTTTTGCATAAATTTTTACCCAGTGATAAGAAATCTGTTTAACTATATGCCATTTAATCGTCTTAGTAACAGTTCAAATATTCAAATGAGATAAACCGATATTTTGTTGGAAAGTGTTGGTTATATGAAAGTTAGAAAAATTTATTTTAAAAAAAAAACAGTATTTGTTGCGAAATAGAATTAATTTTCAAAACTGCTAATAACCAGCGACATTTATTATTTAAACCAAATATATGGATGAATATGATAGTAATGATAACAAACTACTAAATAGTATTCGTTAATGAAGATTATTTTCTTTTAACTTTTAGTTCATTTAAATATTTAGTGGCCCAACATCTGACTCAAAGTAGATCGTATGAATGATTGTTATTGAATGATTGCTGTCGAAATGTATATGTCGCATCTCTTTGTATATAATCATCGACTTCAATCGTTTTAGTCAATAACGGAATTAAATAAGTTAAATACGAGAATGAATTTCGAATACGTATATTTCATACAATCTTTGATCCAGACAAAATATCGGAGAAGCAAATGGAATAGATTGAGGCGAAACGATACGGCGGATAAACCAACTCCATTTGGTCAAGCGCCCCACATAAATAGGCTACAGACATGTGATGAATAGGATTAGAATGTACACAAACATACACTCATATAAAAACAGTCAAGGTTGATAAGCGAATATTTAACAAGGTCGAAAGGTGACTCAACTAGAATGAATGAATTGGTCTGTCCGAGAGCTAGAATACGATTTATGGGCTTAACATGTCAACCGACACTACAAACACTTGACTAAGAATTTTAAAATTATTTTCGAATTAATTTTATGTTGAACTTACCAAAGTATAACTAATAGATCCAATAGATAGAATAATAGTTTGTGCAGCAAGTTCACGAGCTCCCAAAGTCCCTAAAATATAAAAAAACACCATTGGAATAAGTATAACACTTCTATAGTCTGTTTTTACTGTATGTAGTACAGCGAATAAAACTGAGAGATTGCAAATTGTTCATCAAGTATTTCTTTATTGAGTAAAAATTCAGGTTTTTTGTTTGTGTATCAACCCAGCAAAATATGACCTATCATTTGAAAGTCTATTATTTATGTGCAGGTAAATCTATAATCTGTTCATTAGAGGTTTGGTTTTAAAGATTCAGTAGCTAAATCTATAATGCGATGGTATTTACAGAGAACGGTAATAGGTTTGAGTCCTGGAGTGAACATCAACTCTGGGATGTAAGCATATACATCTGACGAGTTCTAAATAGGACAAGACGCTCATTATGGATTCCACTGCTAGCCACCATCCATCTTTGCTTATAATACTTGTGAATTAAGGCAATATTGAGGAAATGCGCACATTATACACATATGCCAATAAGAGATCAATCAATCGCAGTCCTAATCATCAATGGAAATATTCAAATAAACAATACAAAGTGAATTTAAAAAAATAAAACTGTTTTTACTCCAGTTTCAATAGGAGCCTTAATCTCATTTCGAAGTAATAATATTCAAGGTTTTCTTGAATTATATTTAGTTAAACCTTATTACTTTTCTCATTCAGATAAGTTTTACCAAGGTAATGAATCTGTTGATTTAGATCAGTATCACTTTGAAATAAAGTTCAAATTACTTCAGTATATTTCAATTTTAAAAAATATTAGTAAAAAGCAATTATGTTGATCATTTGGAACATTATATAACTAATTATAGACATTTATTTTTTTATATCCCAATGAGTAGTAAAATGGTATTTCTGACGTTTCGTGACATAGTATAAGCTACTTCTTCAGAGTAAGTAAATAACTAAATTAACTTAGCACAAGTTTATATAGTACAAAGAAAACTATCAAGTCCAACCATTACATTGATTCCTACACAATATAATTAGGATTGTTGGGAGTTTAAAATATCAAAGACGAGATAACACAAATTAAAACTGATCAGTTCCTATTGCTATTTGTGAATTCTAAGTGGATTTCTCCTTTATAGCGTTTTATCAGACGTTTTAGTGTAATTGGTATATAATTGGAGGTAGAAACCAGGAAACAAACTTTATACTTTTTTTAAACTTGCCACTTGAATATACCCACCTACGGTATAGACTAAAACTATGTGACTAGTTTGAAAAATGTAAATTTTAAAGCATCGCGAACATACTACTGAAGGATGTCAGGTTAAATATCACTGAATTCACTGTACTACATTATATAAATATATATATATATATACCAAAGTTACTTCGTGGATTTGCTAGGCTAATTATGAATTTTATACTCTATATTCCTATATATCATCCAGCTACTGAACTCTTAGTATCAGTGACCTTGAATACAAGGTGATGAATTAGTAAAATGATAGCTAACAATTAATCATAACAATAATCACTAATAAAGTTAATTACAAACCACAAAATGCTAATTCTAAAATTAACTCCCTCAATATTCGAATTTTTCCGTACATCCAACCCAGACAGTATCATTTATTAACTTATATACTGATCTAATAAAAAACAATCAATTCATCAACGTAGCATTTCATTTGCTATGGAATAACAGTTTTAATGATTTCGCTAGTAAAAGATTTATTTCATCATCTCGATGAAAGCAAATAACTTGTTTAAATTCACAATCAATCTGTATGAATAACTAATTGAATACTATTTATTTGTTTAAACACATAAACATTGGTACGAGAAGGCATCAAATAGATATGTGCTACATAAATCATTCGATATGTGTAGGATCTGGGATACTGCTTAAGTGCCTAAACCGAAGCAGGTGGTTTTCTTAGGAGGTCACACCCGAAGCCTTCAACCTAAAAGTCTAATCCATGAGGCAGTGGAACAATGTCAGGAGATGCAGTCTCATGGTAGCCGGTCACTAATAATTGGTCCATACGCCATTTGTTTCCTTGGAGTCTTGGAGCCCATGTACACCATTGGTTTGGAATCAGGATTTTCCAACTCTCCTAGGTGAACCCTTTGTATCCACCAACCCAGTTAAAGCGCCAAACATTTACTTTTCATCCTCTCAATTTCTTAAACAACAGTAATGCTGTGAGTAAGAGTTCCATGACAGTGGTTGTATGCACGTGGCCATGTGAGAGCAATTCGAGAGAGAGCGAGCGGACTATCCTCACTCTCGACCGTACCAGGGCATTTGGGAGCCGGGAAGTACCTGGAAGAACCCACACCAATGAAACTTGAATACAGAAACTTTTCGTTGACATTCTATTACTTTCTTTTTAGATTCATACATTGTTTTTTAAAGCAACTTTACCCTCTCAACATTACATCTACATAAATCCATATTGTATGTTTCTATTATACAAAGATATTATTTTAAAGTAGACTTTCAATTATCTTACCAGCGATAAAACCACCAATTTCATAAATTGTCCATTCAAGACTAACCATAATTAAACCAGGTATAGCTAAACGAAACCATGTATTCCAATCTTCCCAAATTTCTCTTGTAAATTCTGAAGAAAAAAAGTATGAAAAACAAATGTATGTTATTAAATAATTTTGATGAACGACAAAGTGTAAGATGTCACCAAATCGAATTGAAGCCTATCAATTACTTTTCACATAGAATGATAACAGAGCTATTTTTATCTACTACTAGTTACAAGTATACAGTTATGAGCTCTAAAGTTTAAAATATGAAAATCAGTAAATTAGCATTTTTCATAAATAGTTAGACACTATCCAACATAACATCTATCAAAATATTAGAATTAAAATAATGTAGACCATTTAACTAAATTATACTGCTTAATGATATATATGTATCAGCTGGATTGCTCATTTGAATGGGTACTCCGATCATTATCGTGTGAAGAAGGCTTACATAGGCATTTGACTTACATATAACCGTTACAAACGTGTAGATTCGATATATATTCGATAATTCATTTTGTGATCAGAATGGGGGTTTGTGGACATTGCAGTTATTTTAATAACTGAATTCATGAATCGATGTAAGCTTAACCACTTAAAAACCTGGTAGTACTGGACGGTCGTTTCGTCCTGGTATGGAACTCCGCAGAAATGCGCATTCACAAACCTGTCCCAAAGGGACTCGAACGCAGGACCTTAGGTCTCTTGTACAAATACTTAACCTCTAGACGACTGAGCTGACTGGCATCCGATGTTGTTAATATCTAGCTTCAATCGGCTCACGATCTTACACGACCCTTCATCCATTGTCTGAGGTGGATAATTCTTAAGCGTTTGCACGTGAAACCAAAGACCTCGGAGTCGAATCTCACACGCGGGATTGTGGCTGTGCACTGCTAAAGAGTCCCATACTAGGACAAAACAGCCACCCAGTGATTCTAGGTTTTCAATGATGGTTCAGCTTACATCGACTCATGAATCTGACTATTGAAATTCAATTTTTAACTAAGATAATTTTGCGTGATCTATTCATTCAATGTCCTAAGAATTAAATCTAAAAATCATATCTGGTAAACATTCAGGATAAACACGTTTTCATAAACTTATTTTATTCCCATTCATGAGTAGTACAATGTTGCACTGATTAATTCAGTTAAATATCTGTTCAACAAGATGATGTAAAAGCACCAACTTTACGTAAAAAAAATCAGGATTACTTTAATATTTTAGTTTTGGCTTCAGATAAGTAGGGAATATCTTTGGTAGGTAAGTTATATTTTAGCGAGAAAAAAACAGTGCACTACTGGATATTTTTAAGGTCACAAAATGCAACAAAATTTATAGTAATAATGACAAGTCGTACCACTAACATAACATTATCAATGAAGTTTGTAGATATCGCATGATAGATAAGCAGACTCACTTGTTTAACAGATGAATGATTAAATAAACACTTACAGAAAGGTAAACAGTGAAATAATATATAAATATAATCATACATCAGTTCTGCTAGCTTAAAGACTCTACCACAAAAGTATTGGTTTCAGTGACTATTCTGTAACCAGTTATTATATACTCAAGCGTTATGTTCTTTAACTTTTCACATTACAAGAGTTTTGTAATAAGTAGTAACAGTCGTAACTTATACGGTTAATAATTTCATGAATAAATATAGTGCAACACTATTTATCGATAATAAGAATCAATTACAAAAAAAAATTGACCACTAGTTTCCAAATCAATCAATCGATAACTATCGATCAAGGTACTAAATATAAACGTTCTGAATATAAACTATTAAGAAGACAAAAATTTAGACAAAACAATTATTCATTACTTCTTGATTTTCAACAATTCTTTTAGTGAATATCACTATATAATGAAAAATGTGTTTAAAGATAGTATATTTACTTCAAATTATCATTCTATTTAAAAGTTATACCTACAATTTTAGTATAATTGTTCCATAAATTTTAGACTTCCTAGTTGTGTTTTTTTCTTTCCCCTCTTTTTTTTTATAAAAAAACAGTGGATCGTAGCAAAATGAGAAATTGGAGGATGAAAAGAATTGGGTGCATTTCTTTTCTCTTCATATTCCACGAAGTGCAAATGACTGACAACTATAATCATTTGTAGATAGATGTGTACATATATACATATAAAACTTATTTTACTGTAAACTATAAATAACTACTAAATAATGATAATGAAGAAGAGGAAGAAAAAGAAGAAACAAATAGATAGGCATAGTTTTCTGTTTGTATTGACATAATAACTATAAACGTCTATAAATCATTTTCACATTTTTTAATCAATCTAAATATTTTTATGTAATAATTATTAGTTCAAGTCATTATTCATAAAGATGTCCTGGAGTGAACATCAACTCTGGGATGCAGGCACATACATCTGATGAGTTCTAAATAGGACGAGACTCTCATTATGAATTCCAATGCTAGCCACCATCCATCTTTGCTTATAATGTTTGTGAATTAAGGCAATGTGCCCAGTATACATATATCCCCATAAGAGATCGATCAACTGTTTAAATTACTACAATCTCCACAAAACCCCTTCTGATACTAATCAACATATGCTCACTAGTGACTGGCTTCAAGATATATATCCTGGAGTTCTAGTGAGAAGCAGTGACCAGTGGAGTTCAACCGGGTCAGTTGTGAGGTAGTAAAACACTGATGACAATGGTGGATGTGTCGCTCAATTTCGTGGACTAGTTGAAGTTAGCCATTAACATCATTGGATGCCGGCTCACTGGTCTAGTTGGTTAAGCGGGACTGACGGGTCTTGGGTTCGAATCCCGCGAGGCGGGGTCGTCGATGTGCACTGCTGAGGAGTCCCATACTAGGACGAAACGGTCGTCCAGTGCTTCCAGGTGGTCTAGCTTCAATTGACTCATGATCTCAACTGTTTAAGATTATAATTCCTATTCGACCTTTGAACAATGTTGAAAAGACGTTCAAACACTTCTCCTATTTACTAGGATCAAAAGAGGGTTATAAATTATTATTATTGGAAAATTAGGATAAGGATTTCGAATTGGAATTTAAGGTTAAAAATTAAAGTAAAAATTTTCATCATGAACTAATATCCTCTATAATGTCGAAATGCTATTTAACTAAATAGATAAATGAAATTTACGTCAAAATCCAAGAGTTTCTATCATTAATTCTATTAATTTGTCTATAAATTTTATTCTTATCCGATATTTCATTAATGACCAGTTTTATTGTTATTTTTTTTTAATCACCCTTTAAAAATCAATTAGCTTGGATTTAAATAAATGATCCGATAGTTTCAAATATCAGAAGAAGCTTTGTGGATATTATAGTAATTGGTAATAGTTGAGATCATGAGTCAGTTGAAACTAGACCACCAGGGAAAACCTGGAAGCACTGAACGACCGTTTCATACTATTGTGAAACTCCTCAGCAGTACGCCTTCACGATCCCGTATTTGGGATACAAACCCAAAAACTATCAGTAGTGACTGGTATTTTCTGGAGTTCTAGTGAGAGGCAGTGTCCAGTGTAGTTCAACCGGGTCCATTGTGATATAGTAACTCACTGAAGACAATGGTGTATGTGTCGCTAAATTTCATGGATCGATTTAAGTTAGACATTAACACCGTTGGATATCGGCTCAGTGGTCTAGAGGTTAAGTGTTCACGCGCGAGACTGGTAGGTCTTGGTTTCGAACCCCGCGATCGATAACGTGGATGTGCACTTCTGAGTTCCATAATAGAATGAAATGGTCGTCCAGTGCTTCCAGATTTTCCATAATGGTCTAGCTTCAATTGAGTCATGAGTTCATTAAATTTCATCGTTTGGTCATTACTTTTCTTATCGTACTACTTATTTTATTGAAAAGAAAAAAAATTACTATGTAACTTAACATAGGTTGATAAAATTAAAAGTAGTATAAAAAATTATAAATGGAAGAAAATTAGATCTAAGTTGTAAAATAAATGAATATTTTAATTATAAATGTACGATGGAAAATTTTAATTGACTGTGGAAGGTGTTACGTTATTTTTTTTTAATTATTAAACAGTTTTCTTATTGAGAACAAATTAGTTCATTAGTCAACTTAATAGTCCCCAAATAGAAATAGAATAAATTTGTATCAATTATAAGTGGTATAGAGAGTCAATCAGTAGTAGCGAAAAGTCAGTCGACGGCTATCAGAAGTGACCTAAAGGTTAACTGTATTTCATTGGGATCAATGTGTCAATTTCCTGAGGATGGAGTGGTATGTATATGAATGAGTATTTGTTTCATTTGGTAATCCGATACACTTGCCCTCTCACTCTTGTGTTCTCTCTCATATAGTCAGTGAGCGTAGCACACTGTGTATCAGTATCAGATTTCGAACACTACACGTCACAACAATAATTCCTGTAAGTTCACTTTGCACTGTTTATTTGAATCATTCCATTGCACAAGTTAGTGGCTATCAAGACTCAAACATGATGGTGTTTGAAGCGAATGGTACTGGATTGGAGTCCCTGAATGAACATCAACTCTAGGATTCAGGCATATCCAGCTAACGAGCCCCAAATAAGATGAGACGCGCTTTCTGAATTCCACTGCTAGCCACTACTCATTTTGGTTAATAAGATATACTGTTTTAAGTGCTATCATAACAGCCTTTCTTTACAAGAAAAACATACAAGTCTAATTAGGATTCAATGATAATTGGATATTTGTACATAGATATTCATATTACAAACTATTTACTAGTGAATGTGCGATCAAAAAGACCTACACGAAGTGACTAGAGAAAAATATGATGAGTTAATAGTGTACATGACAGTTAAAAATATCGTGATTGCTAGTTAATATTATGTGCAGTACTATTTAAAGTAGAATGCTAAAATGAAACTCTACAGAGAAATCTTTATGAATGTCGTAGTTGGTGACTGTTTCAGTGCTAAAAATCGCTGAACTCCTTTATAAATTTGGGAATTTATTATAGAATAAGTCTTTAGTGGCTGATATGATATTACTCTGGATTACTTAAAGTTAGATATTTCTGACAGTAGACCTTAACTCAGTAGTTCTAACAATTAAATGCTGACACAAGACATAAGTTCTAGAATTGATTACCGGTGAATTCGCGCGTGGTCACTAGTGAGAGATATCAAAGTACAATAAAATAGCGATCCACTTATCTTCTTTAGTTTATAATAGGACCAAAACTATGATCAATCTGTGACGAATACCATTAACAGGATGTAATCAATTTGTGGTTTTTTAATTTTCATTTTGACGCAGTTATAATCATTAATGATTATAACCTCATCTCTTTCCGCATCGGAAGTCCATTTCAACATATGACTATTCACTAATCTTAACTAATAACTTGCTTTCATATTTTCTGTTTAATTCTTGTTTTTCCCAATTTTAAACATTATTCAACAACGAAGGTTTAAACTATGTTAGTTACTTAAAGCTATTTGTAATTGATGAACAGATTGAAAATAGAATAAAATGTAAATCATATTATTATTTTTTATTTTGATACTGAATATGTTACTTATTATACTGCAATAATTCAGTAGTAAAAAACACTTATGTATAAATTATGTATAATATTAACAATAATTGACCTAACTGATAACAGTAATAATAAGTAATTAGACATTTGAATATCACCTAATTTCTTTCTCTTTTTAAGGACTTACTAAAGTTGGTATCTTTTGAATGACCTATGAATATGATGTAAACAATAAAGCATATTACTTGAAAAAAATATGCTGTTGCTTGAGATATTGGTGAAGCTCTAAAATTTGTAACAACAAAAAAAAGAGAATAAAGAAACAAATCCAATTAGATAAATTTAACAATATTCATCAACATCAATCATATTTTTCTTTAATAAATTCAAAAGTAAATTCATTCAGTCAGTCAGTAATAACGTAGAACTTCGTACGTACATACATCAATTCGAGTTGCCATACCACATATGCACAGCGATGCAGTTGTCGATTCAAATCACGTAGTGGTAGATGTAGTAAGAGTATAAGCAGTAATCGGAAACATTAACGTTTGAAGATGTTAGTCAAGGAGTATAATAAAGTGAAGTGAATTTAGAAAGAAAATAAGGGATATGAAGAATTCAGAAGATTAGAATTTGGTAGAACGCATAGAGTGGATGCACCTGCGCCATTACAAACAATCTTGATCCATGTCATTCAGAGTCTCTAACCATCGGTTGCTATCATCTCGTGGTCCCCAACCAGGTAGTCTACACCTACCAACATGACTCAGTCCACTTGTCAGTGACTTCATGGATTTGTGCCAGGTTTTGGTCTGGTCGCCTGTAGCCTTCTTCCAACCTACTCCTACACCAGTGGACATCGCACGTCGGGGCAGTCGGTAGTTCAGAATACGTAACATGTGTCCCAGCCATCTCAACTGATGAAGATTCACTACTTCATCAAGTGGTTTGCCATCCTTACCTAGTACCTGTTTCCTAACAACTGCACTAGTTACTCGGTGGTCCCAATATACACGAGTAATGTTTCGAAGACACCTATGATCGAATAGTAGTAGCCTACGGATATCCTCTACTCTTACCGGCCATGTTTCACTGCCATAAAGTAGGACGGAACGAACTGCTGCGCAGTAAACACGTCCTTTGGTTGATAGACGGATATCTCGCCTACGCCATAAATGACGCAAGTTGGCAAAAGCTAGTGGAGCCTTTTGTATCCGTGCTGAGATTTCGTCACACACCAGACCACAAGTAAAGTAAATTGAAGTTATCAACTGTTAATGATGAGTTCAAAGTTTAATTGATTAACGATTTATTTTGGTAGTTTCAATAGTTGAAATCATGAGTCGATTAAAGCTAGACCACCAAGGAAAATCTGGGAGCACTGGACTGCTGTTTCGTCCTAATATGGTACTCTTCAACGGTGCACTGAATAATCGAATAACCCACCTTTTTAATTTATCACTTGAGCATACTCGTTGTATTATTCTAACAGATTTTACTTACTTAAAATTTAATTAAACACGAGACTACTTAATGGTAAATTTCTTTTTTGTTTGGAAAAAATACAGGAAATTACTACACATTAAGGTTTTTACGTACATAGCTAATTCGTTTACCTTACATCCATATTCATTATATAAATCAGTATATAATGCATTAATGCATTGATACCATTCACAAAAATCATGATAACTAATGGAGCATATACATGATTCTGTTGGAAAGAGAAAAAAAATAAAAATCACGATTAGAATAGTGTCAAAAAATCTTTATGTTACCAGAAAATTTGTTAGAATAAGGTGAATAGAAGGAACTTATATATGTTGACTATACTAATACACAATGGACCGACATACATATAAGTGGTATTGTGGTGTTTTACTACTGATGTCGACAGATATCAATAGTATGTATCATCAGTCGAAAGTGAAATGTCTAGCGGCAGAAGGTTAGGAAGATTGAATAAAAGAGCACGAGAATAGAGAATGCTTGGTGTGAAAACGAAAGAACAATGAAGTCTGAGACAATTGATTGACATTTTGCAAATGAAGAACTTACTGTATGATCCTCAAATTTTACAAAGATATTCTGCAATTTTGTATTGAACTACATTTAGTTGTCCCTATTTACGTTCTCGTTCACTATAGTATGAATAATCACCTTCAAAGTCACATTTACTAAACATTTGATATTGTTACTCTTAGCTGAGATTAATAACGTAGTCAGTAAACACTGAGGCATATCCCACATGTAGAATTATAAGCCCATATTTTTTTAACGTGTACTTCTTATCAACAATCTTCACGATAGTGTTAACATTTAGAATAAAAAAGGGGTAGGATTAAATTGAAAAGATTTTTCTCATATTTCATGTTTATGATTAAACTTGCCTACAGGCATTCTGATAGACTAGTTTACATAAGCAAAATATATTCCGAATATCATGTGTTGTAGCAAAGTTTGAAATTATTACAATGTGTGAACAATATATAATAATTAGGCAATATCTCCATAGAATATATTTTATAAGAAAATATTCATATCCCTTCTGTCATTTCTTATTTCCGTCAGGTTAGTTAGTAGATGGAAATCCTTGTGGTATGAATAATTGTTGATTTATAATTTTCTATCACGTAACCTAACCCGTTGTGGTTTTATTGATTATATTGATTATTATTGATTGACAACATAAACCTATTAGTATCAGAAGGGGTTTTGTGGAGATCATAGTAATTTCAGTAGTTGAGATCATGAGTCAATTAAAGCTAGACCACTATGGAAAACCTGGAAGCACTGGACGGCCGTTTCGTTCTATTGTGAGACTCCTCAGCAGTGCGCATCCACGACCTCGTCTGAAATTCTTTCTTTTTGTAACATAATTTTCTCACTAATATAATAGCAAATCAATCATTCCCGTTATAATACCTGTATTTCATATTTATAAAGAAAACTTACATATTTGTAATTCAGGTTGTTTATGTCGACGCTAAATATTTACCAATTCTATGTGAGGTGACAGTTTAGAAGCATTTGTAAACGGTCAGTGTGTAAACAATTAGGATTAAACAGAAGGAAGTTCAAGATCTAAATTTTGTTTATTCGCCTGGATAGCTAAGCGGTAGTGTTATGATACAGAATAGCCAGAAAACTAACTACAGGATAACAAATGACCTGTGCTAACTAACATAAATCCCTAGTCAAAAGCATCCTCTGGATATCTTACAACTGCCCAACACCAGAATAAAGTTAATTACAGCATTGATTAAAACTTGATCGAACAGTATAAATCATTATTTGAAATTAGTCAGCATTAAACTGACTACTACTCAGTATTCAGCTAGAAAAGAATAATTCTGAACGACAAGGAACGACAGTCCTATGATTTCGAATGCCGAAGAGACTTAAGTTTAGTATTTCGGAATAACGTCACGCAGATCACTAGATGAATTTATATTCGTATATAACAATGATAAATAGATAAGTGGAATAGAAATAATTGCCTAAGGGAAAACTTTATAATAAGTTGAACTCTAGTAAAATCATATGAATACTGAACTACAAACTGTTACATAAATGTGTAAACTTGAAGAAATAGAACAAATAAAGGTGATCCATTATAAAATTCAATTTTCTAGATATAGCTTATTTCATTTTATTTACTGTCTCCATTCTTCAAACAAACACTTTACAAAGGATACTATTAAAACTTAATCTCAGTTAAACTAAGGCTTAATTTATCTCTCTAATTATATTTTGTGACTTAAATGAATATTATCAGTATAAGGATTTGTGAAGATTGTAGCAATTTTTAACAGTTGAATTCATGAGTTGATCTAAGTTAGATCAGATTTTCAATGGTGATCAAGCTTAGATCTACTAATGAATTCAACCGTTAAATACATGTATCAAATAAATAAATAATGCCATTAAAAAAATCGACAACAACAAACAAATTTGTAAAATATTGTATACTGTAACTTATTCCAGCTTTTTATTCGAAAATTTAGGATAATCATCAATCCAAATCAATAAATTTCATCGTGAAATCATTTGGGATCATTTATTATAGTGAAATATAAAAGTAATTATAAGCAAAGATGGATAGTGGCTAGCAATGGAATCCAGAACGCGCGTTTTGTCCTATTTGAAACTCTTCAGATGGATGTACCTTCATTATGGAGTGGATGCTCACCCTGAAACTCGAACCCAGTACCATTCGCTTCAAACGCCATCGCATTACCCATTTAGCCACTTGCTTGTGTAATGTGGTGAAGTTTAAATTCACTTTGTATTGTCTGCTTGAATTTTCCCATTGATGTTTAAGACTGCAATTGATCAGTCTCTTATTGGCATACGGGTATCCAGTATGAATTGCCTCAATATTGCTTTAATTCACAAGCATTATAAATAGGACTAAACATGTGTCCTGGATTCCACTGCTATCTACTATCCATCTTTTCTCATAATGATTGTGAATTAGGGCAATACCAAGGCGATACGCACAGGATGCCCATATGCCAATAAAAAACTGATCAACTGCAGTCCCAATCATCAATGGGAGGATTCAAGGAAACATAACCAAATGAATAGAAGTAATTAGATCAAATGAAAGTTGAATATGATTCCGAATAATATTAGAATAAATCTTGTCAGTAAATATATATATTAGGTATAAAAAACAACAACAACAACTTTGAACATACTTGTGTTTGAACAAACCTTATAAATAATTGTCCAAGTGAACTAAACTATAACAAAAGTGATCTGGATAATTATACATTTTTACAACTTACAAGTAATCCCGGTATAAGATAAAGCAACAATTCACCAGTTCCCCTAATAAAAATATTAAAAAAAGTAAATTTTTAATCAATATATACTAAAATAAGAGTTATGTTTCTGAAGCCGTGACCAGTGGAGCTAATCCGTGTCGGGTAGAAACAGGTGTCTACCTCAGTACAATGGAAGATGGTCGCGCAATTTCGTGGATTGGTTGAAGTTAGACATTAACACCATTGGATGCCGGCTCAGTGGCCTAGTTGGTAAGCGCCTGGCGCAATTCTGATACGCCCTGGGTTCGAATCTCGCAGGGTGCGGGATCGTGGATGCGCACTTCTGAGGAGTCCCATACTAGGAAGAAACGGACGTCCAGTGCTTCCAGGTTTTCCATGGTGACCTAACTTCAATTGATTCATGGTTTCAATCGAAAACTTAACTATCTCCACAACCCCCAAACTGATAATTATGTTCCTAAAAGAAAATTAAAATAGATATTTGGAGAATCATAATATTTTATTGATACATTAATTGTTATGGTAATATATAAAGTTATGCTTTTCACTTATTTTGAAGAGGTAAATGCTAAAAACTAAGCTGTTCGATGCCTCCCCCCTCAAAAAAAAGAATAGAGACCATCTAGTTTCTTTGGATAGACCAGTGTTTTCTTAATATTTACATTCGCCCATTTTAAACAACTTGACAGGTTGACCACGCAGTTGTTTTTGTTTTCTTCCATGGGTGGTTTTGAGATCTTGATTAGTTTATTCTTTAGAATGGTTCTTTGTTCTCTGTGTCGTTTGCATGATATCTCGATGGCTACTGTCAAGATTTCCAAATGTTCTGACGTGAGTGTCCTTTGTAGCTTCATCTTTTGATCCTCTTTGACGTGTTGGTATTTGCGGGTTCTATAACGTGCATCTGTTATCATTAGGTGTACTATTTTTCTTCCACTTTGCTCAGCTATTCTCCATCCCAAAGGGCAGATGATTGGAGGTCTGTATCTTACACTTGTTGGTAGAACATGCTGGTAAAGACAGTCGTGGAGAAAATATAGTTGTTCTCAGGTGGACTAAATTTGACTAAATTCACTACTCCATAGTGAATGATTTTATCCTGTAATGGTACTACTATACAGATAAAGAATTCTGCAGTGAAAAAATCAATTCTCAAGCTTCATTCAGTTATAATTTCCTAGTAATTAGTACCATCCCTCGACTGATTGAACATTTAACAAACAATGAGTATATTAGTATCTTTTCTATGAATTATTATTTAAGACGTTAAATGAGTGACTTACTTTGCAATTAAAGGATTTTGTCCAAGTAATAATAGTAATGGTTCCGCGTTCAAGTACAAAGCACATGATGGAATACAACATAGTAAAATTAAGATAACAGCTTTAAAAGAAAAAGAAATGGAATTAAAATCAATTGTTTAATCGGTTCCCATTTTTAAAACTTGTATATAAAGGAAATATTATTATCATCAGAATATAGGTTAGTGGAGATTGTAGTAATTTTTAATAATCAGAGAGAAGTTTTGTGAATATTATAGTAATTTATTAGTTGAATGCATGAGTCAGTTGAAGCTAGATAAATAGGTCCTGAGTTCGAATCTTGCGAGGTGAGATCGTGGATGCACACTACTGAGGAGTCCCGTACTAGGACAAAACGGCCGTCCAGTGCTTCCAGGTTTTTCATGATGGTCTAGCTTCAATTAACTCGTGAATTTAACGATTACATTTTTTAGTAGTTAAATTCATGAGTCTATGTAAACTATATCATCAGTGAAAGCCTGGAATCAGTGGACGGCCGTTTCGTCCTAGTATTCAAAGTTATTTAATACTAAAAATATTATTATTGTTTGTTCTTATCTAGTTTTTTTACTTAATTTTACACAAAATAGATTGTCTACTATATTTTCATGCTAAAATCACAAATGAAATGTTCAATTCTAGGCATTAAGCTTTAATTCTATGATTACCGAAAAAGATTTGAGTTACTCAGTTTTTGATCATCTTGACTGAAATTTGATCAATCTTACTAAATGTTTATCTTATGTGGAATAATATCCACTTACTTACTCAATAATATATAACTACAATATACAAAGTACTCCTAATTAACATTAACTATTTTCATTCTATTCAGAATAAAGTATATCCTGAAGACAACAATTCATTTATCCGAATGAAATGATAAGAAAGTAGTCGGAACCTGCCCCAAAATGCCCTGGTATGGCCGAGAGTGAAGAGAGTGTGCTCTCCCTCTCGAAATGCCACGCGTATATAGCCTCTTCCAGGGAAATCCTACCCACTGCCTTCTCGTGGCATTACTGTTGTTTACGAAAATGAGAGGACGAAAAGCGAATGTCCGACGCTTCAACCGGATTCCAAAACAATGGTGCACATGGGCTCTACTATCCTGCGGGAACAAATGGCGTATGAACCAATCGTTGGTCACCGGCTTCCATGGGACTGCATCTCCTTACGATGCTCCACTGCCTTGTGGATCAGACCTTCAGGTCGAAGGCTCATGGAATGGCCCTCTAAGAAAACCACCTGTTTCGGTCTAGGCACCCGGGCAGTATCACAGCCCTCACACATATCGAATGAGATTTTTGTGGCGCATATGTATTTGGTGCCTCATTGTACCAATATCTTTGTGTTAAAATAAATAAAATAAATAAAAGTGAACTTAGAAACTAATGTCTTATTGACAGTTCTTAGAAATTTATAGGGCTCAAGTAATACTACCTCAAACGGCAATTAATCTATTAATATATATCAGTCTGATGAAATATATATATATATATATATATATGGTTTTCCACTTTGTTGAATATAGCTTGTACAATTGGATCTCTTCACATTTTTATTGGCATTATAAATGGTCATTCATTCAGTTGGTTATGTGTTATACATTAAGATTATTGATTCAATTGTTAACTCAAAAAGAAAAAAGAATGTCGATAAAATCAGTTCATTCAGTTTGTTCCATCTTGTTGATAGGCTACTAAATTAGTTAAGAAGTTTTCTAGCTGTAATTAAACAACTGCGTAAATCTTCAGTGGTTAATTGTCCAGTTAATGTCAATCAAGAGCTAAAACTAACTTCATACTGTGTTAATGGTTAAATAATGTTATAATTGAAATGAATTTACCTCTGTATAATTGAACAATCATTTTATCTTTCATTATACTCCCATATGTCTAGAATGCAATAAAAATGAGTAAAACAAACTGTATATATTGAATTAATATTAACATGTCTTTTCTTTACAGAAATGCGTTATTATTATTATTATTATTATTATTATTATTATCAGTACACTAACCAGGTACAAATCTATGTACTTGGCTTTCGGACACACTCTTAATGTGAGGTCCAGCAATATTACCCAGACGTCCAAAAAGTGGAATAGATGGCATTGGATTTTGATTTATATTTTATTAGCCAAATAATACAATTCGTAAAACACTGAGCCATTTCTCCACTTCAGATACATCTAGAATTGATATACATATACTTTGTTGTACAAAAAGAAAGTATACTAGAAAGAAATTAACTTACATTATTTAACATCCTATTTTTACTTTTATATTTTAATTAGATTTATGGACTAATGAAGCGTGTATCATAAAACAAAAACTATAATCGTTCGATTATTTAACTAATTTTTCAATCTTTTAATCTTTATTATCTTTTTTTGATGAGATAAAACGGATGATCAATTTTTTTAGGTATGAAAACTATGGTGAGACTATAATTTATGGACGAATCAATCAAGTGTAAGATAACAGTTCTCGGATTTTGCCGCGAACTTCACTCATCTATTTAGATAAACAGAGTCTTAGTATCGTAGCTGATGTCAGTTCGTGATGTAAACCTTAAATTTAATTCTTAACCTTAATCATCAACTGGAAATCATAATTCGAATTATTCACCCATGTTTATAACCCTCATTTGGTCCTAGTTATTAGGTGGACACTCTCAATGTCAGTCTAGCGTCGCTCAAAGGTCATCCAGAAATTATGGTCTCACTAAAGCTTTTTCTATGGTTTCAATATTAAAATAGTTGAAATCATGGGTCAATCGAAGCTGGAACACCATGGAAAATCTGGAAGCATTGAACGGCCGTTTCGTCCTAGTATGGGACTCCTCAGCAGTGCACATCCACGATCCAGTCCCCGCGAGATTCGGACCCAGAACGTATACAGTCTCTCGCGCGAGCGCTTAACCAATCCAAAAAATTGCACCACTGCCCACCATTGTCCTCAGTGAGCTGACATCTCACAACAGACTTGGTTGAACTCCACTGGTCACGGCTTTTCACTAGAACTCCAGGAAATGAATCTTGAAGTCAGTCACCAGTGAGCAGATGATTATTATCAGGAGGGATTTTGTAGAGATTTTATTAATTTCAATAGTTGAAATCATGAGTCGATTGAAGCTGTCATTTTTTGTATGAATGAATAACACTATTAGTGTGAATATTATGATAAGATTTACAAGTTTTCTTTTGTTACATTTGAGTATACTAAAACATTCAATTATTTGATTGTTTTCTTTGTACAAAATGAATTCCTTCCCTACACCTGTTACCACCCTTCATGAAGGAGCATAGGCATCTCATCAGACAAAATGAATTATAATTGATTAAATGAACTGTAATTTTATACTAAAAAAATTAAATATACTTCTCTTTATGAATGGAACAAAATAGAAAGTTCTCCTTTGGTATTTATAAAATAAACTATTGTTGACTTTGTTTCACACTAGTCGGCATCTTAATAATAAAAACATATGAAAACTTTATTGAGTAATAGTTAAACATTAAACTGAAACTTATTGTCAGTATTGTCACAAGTGATAATGGAATAGATCTGTAACTCATGTAGATGATTTCAATAGAGTTTTGTCGACTAAACCATCTAGGTCAAAGAATGAAACTTCATCAAAATTGTTCCAAGAACATTTTCAATATGTTTATGTTTAAAATGTATTTTTGCATAGATTACTAAAGTAATAAATAAATGGATTATTATAAAACTAACAGACTGATCAATTGTAGTCTTAAACCTCAATGGGAAGATACAAGCCAAACAATACCAAATGAAACTAATTAATTATTCTAAATATTGAAGCAAAAGAAAAAAGAAAATGTATTCTTACTTGTGAAAATAATGTATCACATGCAGAGAGTAATCCTAGAATAACAAACATACCACAAACACTAAACACTGACATAGCTAAACCGATTGTAGCTAATTGAATTTTGCCTAAATGACCACAGAATGCCATACTGACAGGTGAAATTGTATATGTTAACATTGATGAAATAGTCTAAAATATAAAATTTAAAAAATATATATATATATTCATTGGATATAAATTAATAATGGATTCTAGAAAAATCAATTTAGTTAAAAACAATCAATAGATTTTGATCCCAATATATATTGACACAAATCGGAATCAACTTTACATCTTGTACTATTCATTAGCTAATTATCACTTCAATGGATATCAACATCTTAACTAGATTATTTATTATTATTGACATTGAAAAGGATCAAATGTTTGGTCTCATATTAATTATATAATAGACATAAGGAACTTTTTAAGTATTCTAGTCTTGTAGTATTGATACTGTGGCTAAAGTATGAGTGTGATTTACAAGTATGACATAAGTGAATACAATAAACCTGTGAATTTTTCTACCCCAAAATGTTCTCTTAATTTCACATTTGACAATTAAGTCAATAGTAGATTTCAGCAAACAATCCACTTTTATTAATATTTTATATGCAATACCAACATCTCATTCACTTTAAGAATGCTAAGATGAAAAATAAAACATGATATCTCTTTACTTGGTTACAGTCAGCACCATTACTGTTGGATGCCTGCTCAATGACCTAGAGGTTAGGCGATCGCCAGCAAGACCCAAGGTCCTGGGTCCGAATACTGATTGCGGGATCATAGTGGTCTACATTCATCGATTCATGATTTGAATAAAAACTCAACAATCTCTACAATCTCATATTATGTTGGTAATACTGGTATAATTATATAAGTAATTTGTAGCTTCTTAACCTATAATTATTGATATAGAAACTTTGTTTTGGCTTCTTCAGTGAAATAATAAAGAACTCTAACAGTTGAGTTGAAATGACAGATCTTTTAAGATTTGATTTGAAAGAAAGAAAAAAAAAACAGTGAAAACTAATTCTTCCTCTTATTTAACTTACAATAGGTATTGCTAAACGTAGTAAATTTTTTAATTCATATAGAAATCCTAATGGATACATTTTTCTTAATAATCTTTGACGATATGTAAGACTACGAAGTACTTCTTGATCATCTGTATATAAAAAGAATAAAAACAATGATGTTTTTTCTGATGAAAACTATGCATTAAGGGTTATTTATCATTTTCAACTGTACATCATATTAAAACTTTATTGGAATTGAACAGAAATGATCAAAGAATTTAGAATAGTTTAAAAGAAAATCTCTAATTTATGAACTTATATACAGTCAAAATGGGAGTTTGTGGAAATTGTAGAAATTTTTAATAGTTGAATTTGTGAGTAAATTTGAGCTAGACCACCACTGAAAATCTGAGAACACTAAAAGACCGTTTTTTTCCTAGTATGGGATTCCTCAGCAGTGCGCATCCACTCCACGAACCCCTATTTCAATGATAATCATCATATACCCATTATTTACTAGCTTCAAGGTAAAAATTTTTTTAGTTCTAGTGAGAAGCTGTGTCTAGTGGAGTTCAACTGCGTCTGTTGTGAGGCAGTTACTCAGTGAAGACAATGATGGACGACCGTGCAATTTCGTGGTTTGATTGAAAATAGACAATAACACCGTTGGATGACGGTCAGCTCAGGGGTCTAAAGGTTGGGCGTTCACACATGGGACCTAAGGTCTTGGGTTTGAACCCCTTAGGTGAGCGATCGTGGATTCGAATTGATGAGGAATCCTATTTTAGGACGAAATAGCCGTCTAGTGTTTCTAGATTTTCAATGACGGTCTAGCTTACACAGACTCATGCATTCAACTATTTCATATACAGTCAATAAATACTATTGCTTGTCAATTATTGAATTTCAAAATGAATCGTAAGGTATAAGCAACTAAATATTTTACTTCTACAGTTACGTAAGATGATAATACCACATAAGAATTAAATTATTAAGTAGTATCTTACATTTTGTAAACTTTTATTCTACAAACATCGTTTTAAAAAAGGCTATTTTTACCGACTGTGACTGCTGTTAATTTAGTTAAGTTTAATGAATATTTATGTCCATGGATCACATCTTGTCAATGATTGTTATTTACCATTCAAATAAGAAAATTAATTAGCAATATCTTTTGTTCACCGGTTAACAGACTAGAAGATTTACAGCCATCAAGTGGTTTCAGGTTTTCTATGGTGATCTAACTTGACCTGACTCATGATCTCGACTATTGAAATTATTATAATATTCATAAAACCCCTTTTGATCAAAAGTTAAATTTGATTTCAGATTATAGATGATTTATAAACTCTTGAAAATTGTGTTATACTGGAGAAATTTTACCTTTTTTTTAATTTCACTGAAAAATATTTTTCATAGTGAAAATGAAATCATAGAATTCAGTATCTTTCTTTGAATAACAAACCAAGACTAATCCGATGAAGAATGAAAAATGATAAGTGAAATTTGATAACTAGTGAAAATATATATAAGGAATTTCATTAGATGCATTTGACTAATGAATCAACCAGTAAGACTAAAAGTCATTAACGAAGAATAAGGTAGTTTCAGAATAAACTGCAGATTCTTAGTCACTAACTATCTTTACGTTATAAAACTAACTTTCAAAATATTCAAGATAAATGTCACATAAATATAGATACTCGGCTAAATCCAACTTGTTCTTAGTAATGGTATCATGATATTCATTTTTGTAATCATCTAAATGTTAATATTCTGTTTTATTAGATAAATACTACTTATCTTACCGTTATTATCTATTCTAGCTGTCTAAAAATAGATTAACTTAAACCAGTGAAAAATGATTGAAGCATTCGACTTAAAGTCAGTTGATTGCACTTGTGCTCATCTGATTTCGGATGATATCACTAAAACCAACATAAACCACATACTTCAAAGCTGAATACATAAACTTATACAGTTTTACGAAATCTGATGTCAATACATTATGTAATTTAGTTATCATTCATTTTGTTATTTCTTTTATACTATTATGCAATAATTACTCATTTAAGCTAAGCGATTCTTAATGAACCGTACATATATATATATATATATATATATATCATTGAAAAAAAATACATTTACAAACTGAATTTACCTTCGATTTCGGTATCTTTTTTGAAAAGATCAATCAGATAGTTACAATGTTTATTTTTCCTCATAGTTACAATCATTTTGTGATTACACTATTCTATAATGCATAACTTATATATATCCAAAGGTGATTCTTTCTTATATAGAAGAAAAAGTCACCTTTTTTTCACATATATAATGAGTTTTATATATTTTTACATTTATTTATTCATGATTATTATGACTGTTATTGGTGATAAATATTCTGCATAATTTAATTATTATACTTTTCAGGTTGAATTTCTTTTCATTGAAAAAACAAACCCGACTCGGTGAAACGAAAAAACAAAATTCACACTTAACTATTTAAACAACCAATACGGTAAAAACGTCAGTGAAATGAAACATTTACAGTGTAGTTCGGTACAATAATAAAAAGTATATATATATATATACATGTTTTGAGTAAGTATTTTACGTTGAACTCAGTATATAACAGTACAATTGTAACCAATAATTCGTTTATTCGAATATTCACAAAGCTTTATTATTATCAGAAGGAGTTTTGTGGATATTGTAGTAATTTCAATGGTTGAGATCATGAATCAATTAAAGCTAGACCACTGTGGAAAACCTGGAAGCACTGAACGACCTATTGTCGAACTCTTCAACAGTGCTCATCGACTATTCCGAGACCGATATGTCCTGGGTTCGAATCACGCCGGGCGGAATCATGGATACGCATTGCTGAGGAGTCGCACAATAGGACGAAACGGCCATTCTGTACTTTCAGAATTTACATGGTGGTCTAGCTTAAATTGACTTTATTATTACTGTGATAAAAGAACTTGAAGTATTCCAAATACCGAAATAACACAAAGTAAGATCCTTTAGATTATGTTGATTTGTTGAAATACAAAAGAATAATCATTGACAGTTTACTATATATTATAAAAAATGTACAATAATAACAATAATTCGGAAATTTGTAGATATGTTTATAAAAGTAAGATTTTGTAAGGACAGATGGTGACTTAATGATAATATCGAGGCAATTTTTACAAGATGCACATATACCAAAAGAGACTCATCAATAATAGTCCTAAACATCAATGGGAAGATTCAAACAACTAGTAAAAACAAATTAAGCATAGGTTTATATATATATATATGAAAACGAACACTGTGTTACGGTTAAAGATGGTATGGTGATAGTATAGACTATAAAAGTTTGTTTCCAAAGTATTTCAATGGTTTTGTAGGAAAAATGAAAGGGAATAATATTCAATCACCTTTCTATTGGTCTCTCAAATTAGTAAATACACATAAAATTTGATTTATACTACTGATTATTTTGTTGATATCTAGAAGATAAAATATCAAAAGGACCTGGAATAAATGCAAACCCAATTAGTCAATTAAACTCTTTATACACACGATGAACTTAAAATTGGCTAGTGTAATATATTAGTAATGTCTATTTTACAAGGCAACAATAGCTCAAATGGTAAGCTTGCTAGTTTAGTAATACGCAAGTTTTCGGTAATCATCGCTGAAAAGTATTTTAAATTCTCTGTAGGGATTAGTCAGTTATGAGTAATAGAAAACGATGTCGCATCAGCTGAAAACATTTGCTGATTTGTTAGTATATCACTTTCTAGAAAACATATATGTAGTTATTGGTTTCAGCGTAGGAACCAAATAAATTTAACTCAATATACTTCGCTATAATCATTTAAAACATTTCGAGAACCAAACAGACCGAAATTCCCAATAGTATTAGTCTAATAATATTCATTATATCATGTTTTTGGAATCAAGCTATAAATTTAAGTGCTAAATTTTATTTATCCGTACATGAACTCAAAAATAGGACATGTAACGATGCATAGAATAACATTCATTGATTTGCGCTCATGATATTGTGGTGCCAACAGATATGAGTGGTATGTAGTACGTATATAGAAAAATTATTGAGAAACATAGGACCAAAAATCAAGCCAATGAAGGATACAACCAAAACAAAGAAATAAACAATGACAGATTTGAGGTCAACAAGAACCAATCAACATCGAAGTCCACAGGATAAGCTGTGAGCCATATGTGGAGAACTTCGAACAATTCACTTCTACATAAAGTTTGTGCTGATAATGTCGTTCAGAAGAATGATGAAAGCTCTACGATGAAACCATCCAGCTCAGAGAACAAAACCCTATCAAAAAGTGTGTAGCACCAATCGGAAGTGGAATACCCGTTAGCGGGAAATTGCCATAAAGAGAACATGAAGGGAATCTGAGTTCAATCACAATAACAACAGAATCAGAAAAATTGTGGTGTATGTAAAGGACAACTTGAAGATGTGCAGATGATGTATCTAATGTATAATTGTCATATTTTACTAAGCGATAGTAAAATTTTAAGTTAAGTATTAAATTGGTTTACCCTACTTCTGCCTTTCTTCAATACAAATGGTGCTACATACATAAAGCGAAATAACTTGAAGAAATTTAATTCTAAAAGATGTTCTGAATGAAGTTTTAACTTTAACTAAAATTAAATGTAGAGTACCTCTATAAACACTATGTACTAAAGTTTTTAAGAAAAGTACTTATGCACGTAAAATACAGACGAATAGAGCATTGTAAGAAAGGAACTACTACTTTAAAAATGATGACAAAATGATGAAGAGAAAGAAAAGGGACAGGAGTAAGATATCTAAAAGTCGTCTGATTGTGAATTTTGATTATTCTCTATGAAAGATAATAATCCATAATATTATCTAAATCAAAGTAGGTTTCAACTTGTATTGTAGTTAACAGGGCACAGGTGGAGACAATCGAATGTATTTGACACGGAATTAAAGAGCATCTCAGTAAAATCTAAGAACCGTATATTAAATCGTTAATTTGCAAAATGTTCACCAATTGTCTCAGACTTCATTGTTCTTACATTTTCATACAAATATCATTCTATTCCCGCTCTTGCTTTCTTCATCTTCCCTTATCTTCTGCTGCCGTACATTACATTCCTGACTAGCATAATATACTACTTATATCAATATAAGTAGCAGCACCACAGTATCATTTCCATGATCGTCTATCAGATTTCTGTGAATATATGTATATAAATCAGAAAATCAGATAATTGTGTATTTGATAAGACAGAAATTTACTTAAAACATTACACATCAAGTAGTAGTTTACCCTAATTCAATCAAAAAACCTATCATTTTATTAAACTTATTAAGTCAATTAACATTATAGACAGAGAATATTCAATGTTTACATTGATTTGTTAAGACTAAATTCATTAAATGAAACTGAATTTATTTATATATTCCATAAGAAACAGAAAAAGGGAATTCAGCGAAGAAAATTTTTCTTTTCGACGAAATCATTCGTATATAGAGTTACATGGGAAATGTATGTCTATAGGAGGATAGAAAAAATTACATCACCAAAATGGATTCGAGGATAAATAACAAATGAGGTTACGTACTAATCAAGGGGTAAGGAAGAATATCATTTATGGGTCAGATAATAGTCCGATTGACAGATATGAAGAAAAGCGACAAACACAAAGGTCATATTAATATACTGAATAATAACCAAGATAACTTGTATAAGGTAATAATAATCATGGATTAGAATTTTAATATGCAAAATAGTAGTTTAAAAAATCCGATAATAATCAAATAAAAGTTCAGAAAAAAAAGAACAGAAACATACCCACTAAGGAAATTAGGGCCAAAGAAGAATGAGAGGTTGGACAAATCGTTTCTGCACGCAAAGTTCGGGCTTGAGTTCGTGAATTGCCAATGCCTCAGCAGTGCACAGAATATTGATTCGACACCCCTTCGATTCAATTCATTTGACTCTGTAGATCACTTTAAAAGAAGAATATTTGGGAGAGGTGTGTCCAAAATTGATTAAATACTCCTGTATAGAACTAGTGATTATCTTACATTCTCCTTTCAAAAGTCAAGCCGGATAGTGTTCTGAGATGTGTTTGGAAAGTGATCGCTTTGTTCGGCCTATATAACAAGCCCCACATGAGCATGTAAATTTATAAATACACATTGATGTGGTCCAAAGCGAAAGTTTATCTTTGACGCATCCAGGAAAGGTAGGCCGGCTTGAGAAAACAATTCGGAGCTTAGCTGAGTAGAAAGTTTTATTCAATGATTTTGAAATCCGTTTATTTAAGATTTCATAGGCCGTGTCTCCTTTAAATTCCATATTCGTAAACAAGGTTTTCTTCTGTACTGCCGATGCTTTTTCAAGATGGCGTCTAGGTGTTAATTTGCCATTGACGAATCTAGGTGGATAACCATTTCTGATGAGAGTCTGTCGAAGTTGAAATGGTTCCTTATCTATTTTGTCAGTGGAACAGATTCGCTTGATCCTAGAGGACAAATAGTGAATTAAGTTCCTCTTTCTATTCAGTGGAACACAACAATGGAAATTCGTGTACTGTCCATTTCAGGTAGATTTTCTATATATCGATCTCTGTAAAAAACCGTTTGGTATTCTTTCCAATAGGACATCAAAAAGATGAAATTCATTGTTTGCCTTTGCTTCTAAGGTGAATTGAATTGAGGGGTGACAATTATTGAAACTATTCAAAATTTCATTGAGGTTCATGCCTTCTTCACAAATAATGAAAGTAACATCCATATATCTCTTACACAAATGAAATCTCTCAATTATTGGTCGAAGTGCCGAATTTTCTAGACTGGGCATGAAACAATCAGGCAAGAGAGGACCTAATGGAGAACTCAATGCAACTCCATCTATTTGTCTATAGAAATCATCATTAAATCTAAATTGCACGTTGAGCGTACGCCGTAGAAGTAGTCCTTTTAGATAATGTTTTGGGATACACATATCAAGGTTATTGTTTTCAATATAGTCACATAAAAAACAAGTAGTTTCTGTGAGAAGAACATTCGTAAAAAGAGAAGTGACATCTAATGAGATTACTTTCTTACCAATTACGTTGATATTTTTAATTGAGTCTTCAAAGTCAAAGGAATCGAGAGAGTTATATTTATTGATATGATTTTTAACAGGTTGTAAAATATCAACTAACCATTTAGCAA